CATTCCTATGGGTAACTGGAAATCTTTTTAGAACCCCACGTTGATTTGCTGTAGAGTTTAAAGTATATACCTTTGTGCGGCTTTGTCGTCATTCCTTTTCATGTCGTATCACGTTTAACATCACATCCTACCGTGCTGTGGTACTACTGTAAGCGGAGAGACCTTACCTTTCTCTTCTTCCAGCCTCACCCATTTAATTGTCTGAGTATTTTTATGTTTTTCTGATACATACGGATACTTACATTTATGTATACTTCTGTGTCTTATATGTTTATGTAATTATTTAGAATATTTCCTTTACATAGATGGTGAACCACATCAGACAATATTAACATTTTTTGCTAACTTTATGGTCAAACATAATTTGGAAAACCCAAGAAGATCAAGAATTTATTCTATGTATTCCATATTTTTACTCTTTCTGGTGTTCCTTATTTGAAGTAAGATTCCATCTTTTTTCATGTCCTTTCTATTCAAAGAACTTCCTTTATCTGCTCTCTTTATTTTTTTCTTCACTTCTGACAGATATTTTTGCTGGATAAAGAATTCTGGGTTAACAACTCTTTTCTCTTAGCACTTGAAACATGTTATGCCAGTTCCTGCAGGTCTCCATGGTTTTTGACGAGAAACCCAGGGTTGTTGTTATATTGCTTTTCCCTCTAGGTAAGAGGTGTTTCTTTCAACTTTTTTGCTTTCTCTTTGATTTTTCAGAAGTTTGATTATAGTGTGTCTTGGCATGAATTTATTTGGACTTATACTGTTTGGGGTTTACTCAGTTTCTTCAATCTGTAGTTTTGTATCTTTTGCCAAATTTGGGAGCTTTGCAACCATATCTGTCAAGTAACTTTTTTAGCCCTGTTGTTTTTCTCCTCTCTTTCTGAGACTCTGATTGTATGACTGATCAATCTTTTTGTCACAGCTTCACAGATCCCTGAGGCTCTTATCTGTGTGTGTGTGTGCGCACACACATACACACATGCCTGATGGCTATGTATTTATCAGAGACAGAGCGAGAGAGGAGAAAGCAGCTCCTGTGAAGAATGGTCACTTGGGAACCAGCAGTTAGCATAATGGCTATGTCGCTGGACTCCCACGTAGTCGACCGCGGTTCACGTCCTGGACCCGGTGGCTTAAAACTCACACCGGGCGCGTGTGCGTGCGTGCGTGCCCAAGATCCCGAGAGGAGAATGGAGGAGAAGGGATTGTGGCGTGGCCATCCCCCCTGGGGAGTGATTTCTCGCTTTCTGTCTCTATGTCTCTGTCTGTCTGGCGAGCGCACGTGCCCTATAGCAAAAACCTCTCCAAAAAAAAAAAAAGAATGGTCACTCGAAAATCCCTTCTCCTCCATCTCTCCGCCCTTCTAGGATTTGGGATATACGTGCAACATGCCCAGTGTTTCTCAAGTCACTGGGTCAGTTTTGGACTGCATGGCTAGCTAGCCATGTGGGACCTAGCTGTGTTAACAGCCAGGCTACGGAGCCAGCCCTGGTCATTTCTGTGGGATCTATCTTCTTCCTCTTGTTCTGAGCATCTCTATTGTTTTATCTTGTAGTTCACTGACTTTTTCATTTTCCTCTTCATTCTGCTGTTGAATCTATCCATTCACATTTTGATTGCAATTATTTTTAATTTTAGTTGTGCAATTTCCTTATTTATATCTTGTTTGTTGAGACTTGCTATTTCATTTTTAAAATTATTTTATTTAACTTTATTTATTTATTTATTCATTTGTTTATTTCAGCTTGACTAGAGAGAGATAGAGTGAGAGAGAGAGAGGGGAAGTGAGAAAGCAAGCCACCATGTCCGGGACTGGAACCTGGTTGGCCACGTGGGAATCCAGTGCCTTAAGCACCACGCCACCGGCCGGTCCCAAGACTTGCTATTTCTTTTCGGAGACTTCGTTTTTGTATTTGTTTCCAGTGTGTTAGTAATTGTACACTGAGGCATTTTCAAAGCAGCTGCTTTAAAATCTTTGTAAGGTTATTCTTACGTCTGTGTCATCCTCGTTGCGGGCAGCTGTTGACTGTCTTTGCTCATTCAAGTTGTGATTTTCATGATTCTTGGTATGATTAGTGGTTTTCCATGAAAAATTGGACATGTTTGATATCCTAGTATGAGATTTTGAATTTTATTTTAATCTGTCTTGGCAAGCCTCTTAAATACTGCCCTACTGAGGAAAGGGTGCTACCTTGTGAGTTCCAGGTAGGAGCATAAATGGAGCCTTCTCCTCAGCCTCTGTTGACATCGGGCAAGAGGCTTCTGTTACTTCTGGGCAGGAGCATGAGTTTTAGTTTCCCACTACGGCTGCCAAGTAAAGACCGAAGAGTTGGCTTGTGTCGTTGTCAGATAAGTTTTGGTTAACTTTGAAAGAAGCTGCCAAACTGTTTTACAGTGGTGATAGAATTTTCCGTACCCACCAGCACTCCGTGAGCATTTCAGATCTGTGCATCAGTGCCGTCACTCTGCAGTGAGGGAAGTGTGCAGTGTCTACACCGCCCACTACCGCAGCCGCTGTAACGGGCCCCACAGCTCCCAGCCTTGCGCTGTTTGCAGTTGTCAGTTTCTCTTATTTTATTCCTTCTGTGTACATGAGGTGGCATTTTACTATGATTCTTATTGTGTCATGTTCTTATTGGCCACTTAATTTTCATAATGATTTTTTTTTTGAGAGGTTTTTGCTATAGTGTGCGTGCGCTCGCCAGAAAGACAGAGAGAGACAGAGATAGAAAGCAAGAAATCACCCCCCAGGGGGGTGGCCACGCCGCAATCCCTTCTCCTCCGTTCTCCTCCCGGGATCTTGGGCGCATACGCACACGTGCCTGGCGTGAGTTTTAAGACACCGGGTCTGGGATGCAAACCGAGGTCAACACTACATGAGAGTCCAGCGACATAGCCATTACGCTAACTGCTGGTCCGCATAATGATATTTTTAAAACAGCAAACGTTTTTAAAATTAGGTAGGTTTTTTTGTTTGTTTGTTTGTTTTGTAATGGTTCCTCTTTCTCCTAAGGTCATAGAATTTTTTCAGCATCTTTTCTTAAGTTTATTTTTCACTATTTGGCCTACAATACATTTTGAGTTAGTATCTGTATGTGATGTGCGGTAAAGGCAAAGTTCACTTTTATTCCATATAAAAATATTGTTGTTCTAGCATTATTTGTTGAAAATATTTTCTTCCTTCATTAAATTACCTTGACTCCTTTGAGGAAAATCAATTGACCATATATATGCTGGTCAATTTTGGGGTTCTCTCTTCTGTCCCATGTATGTCTATATGTAAACCATAATCAAACCATCTCAATTGCTATAGCTTATTTATAAATCTACAAATCCGATATTGTAAATATAGCTCATTTTTTAAATTTTCAAATGTCTTTTTTATTATTTCATTCACGTGGATTTTCATAAACATTTTAGAACCAGCTTGTATTTTTCTATACAAAAAATATAGGGTTGGGGTTTGATTAAATCTGTCAGCCACTTTCCAGAAAATTGCCACATTAATGATGTTAAATCTTCCAATTCATGAACATGATATATCTATTTATTTCAGTTTTCTTTCATTCATCTTGGCACTATTTTTTAGCTTTCATGTTACAGGTCTTAGCACATATTTTATTAGTCTCACGTTTTAGTAGATACTTTTTTTACACTCAAGTAATTAATTTTTAATGTTCTTATAAGTGATATTTTAAAAATTTTAGAATTCTATTTGTTATATAGAAAAATGTAATAGATACTTCTTTTTTCTTTTTTGTTTTTTTGTAATTGCCAAAGGGTACCTGCACTCACCAGTGAGAGAGAAAGGGCAGTGGCGAAGCAGCACCTGGCGGGGTCCGGTCCTGCTGCAGTCGCTCTCCTCATTTTCTCCATCCCGTCAGGATTCGGGGTGTGCACACACACTCAGCCGGTTCTCAGGCTGCCCGGGCTGCATTCACGTTGCAGTTGGCCATGTGGGATCCAGGTCTCTTAACTCCTGTATTAAGAAGCTGCCCCTGTTATAGATATTTCTATATTGACTTTCCAGTCTACCATCTCCCTAAAATCACTTCATCGTTCCAGCTCTTTTTTTTTGTTTTTTTTTTTTTCATTTTGTTTTTGTAGATTCCTTAGCATTTTGGTTTGTTTTCAATTGCTTGGTAGCACACAAGCTTGCTGGAGAATGAGAGAGAAGGAAAGTACAAAAGCACCCACATGGGGGATGACCATGCTACAATCCCTTCTCCTTTATTTCTCCTTTCAAAATTTTGGGCACACATGGACACGCACCTAGAACTTCTCAAGCTGCTGGGTCTGAAGCTTGAATGATGCAGCTGACCGTGTGGGATCCAGCCACCGTAGCCACCACGCCCTCAGCTGGTCCTTTTACTTTACATTTCTTACCTCGTGTTTTCCTTGTGTTTGAAAAATAGAGGAAAGAGATTGAGGGTGGGCCAGGTTTTAATGTAAATATTAAATGTAAGGATGTCCAGGAATCAGAAATAGATTGCAGTCTATTTATTTTGGATGTTATTTTAAAACCAAATTATAAATATATTCTACACTTGAGCCTAAAGTAAAACTATAAAGTGTCCAATGAAATATTTATATTTGGAGATAACTGCTTTTTCAATTGCATAAACCATATGAAAGCTAGACATTGTGACTTTTAGAATTATATTTTTATAAAGATGAATTATAATTTAATGAGTTTTCATTGACTTGGTATCTGTATATTTAGAGCAAAAAAGTCTGCAAGGACAGTCAAATGAAGCCTTAGAGTATGTTTGCTTTTGATTCTTACAGGTTGTTTGTTGGGTATAATATAAGGCGTTCTTGAATGTGAGGTTTTATCCATGTTTCCATTTAAGTCAGGAAATTACTTCTTAAATGTATTGGATGAATTATAACTGTTGAGTAAGAGTGAAATTAGGAATATCCAAAAGGGATGAAAAATGTCCAGTAGTGTGAAACTAGTCTATTCTCTGTTTTACTTTGTTTTATCTTATTTTCTCTTGTAGTAAACATTGTGTTCCTCAGAAAATGAGTTAAATAATGAGAGGCAAGGAGGAAAAGACATTTCGCTTGGAAAGACAAGGAAAGACCTTTGAAATTTTAGAAGAATGTTAATGCTAGCTGCTAAAGCCACCTTTGTCACTAGAATGGATGAAGTGCTTCGTATTTGAAAGGTAAACAGAATTCTCCTATCATGTAACATATCCATCAAGAACTTGAGATGACTTAAAAGGATTTCTCAGGAGGTTTAAATGTTTACCACACAAATGCAAAAGATATAGGTATAGTTGATCATTTATAATTTAATATTGTCAGGCTTTATTGTGCTCCTTAATATCTGCTAAAATTTTTTTGTTTTCCCCAGTTATAAACTTACTGATTTCTCACTTTCTATCTCTCTATCTCTCTCTCTTTCTCTCTCTCCAATGAGCGTACACGCCCTATAGCAAAAATCCTCTCTGTAAAAAAAAAAAAAAAAAAAAGAAAGAACTAAAGTAATGTAAGTAGTAGTGCCTATCACATATACAAAGATTTGGGGATCTTATTTTCGAAACTGTATTTGATGTTGTTTTTTAGTTCCTTACTTGACATTTGGTTTTGTGATCTTTTTCCTTTTATATCTGACATGTTATTTTTATTTAATCTTCAATCTGTCCTTTGCTTCTTTTGCTCTGTACCTTAAAAAAATCATTTTCTAGGAATTGAAAGTTATTATAAAAAGCATACAAGCCAGAATAGGAAAAAAAGTCTTAAGTTTATAAAGTTTTTTCTTCTTGCTAAATTGCAAAGATGGTTAGATTTCACATAGAATGGAAAGAAATTCTATAGAGACATAATGTTCTTTATAGTCTTCTTAAATTTTCTTGCTCTTAGGCCAAAATATTTAATGCACACTTTGTAAAGATTCATATATTTGCAAAATTTTTATGGCTTTATAGTGAACAATTACAATGGCTATTTATTGGATTTCTATTATTGAATAATTTGGTTTTAAGGAATAATAGTTTTCTCGAGTCCTTATGTCTTATTAGTGAAATGGTTCAATTAATAAAACAGGTTTGTTTCAGAAAATGGGTAAAATCAGTCCAATACAGTGTCATTTACTAGTCATAATGATTCTAAGGAACATAGGAACTGTTTCAAGGAAATGATTCAGGTTGATAAGTGTAAGCCAGGCTAAATCATACACCAGATAATGAACATTCTGACGTCTCTTCTGTTTGTTAACATTAACCTTGATAAAAATGTCTTTTTTTTTCCAAGAGAGGTTTTTCTATATAGGGTACATGTGCTTGCTGGAGAGACAGAGAGAAACAGACAGAAAGTGAGACCCCCCCCCCTCCAGGGAAGATGGCCACGCCACAGTCCCTTCTCTGTTCTCTTCTTAGGATCTTGGGTATGCATGCACGCATGCCCAGAGTGAGTTTTAAGCCGCCGGGTCCAAGATTCAAACCACAGTCGACTACGTGGGAGTCCAGCAACATAACAACCATTATGCCATCTGCTGGTCCCAATAAAAATATCTTAATAGTACCTTTAAAAAAGTTCTCCATGCTGGCCCTGTAGCACAGCGAGTAAGCACTGTGCATGGGGAGCCGGATCCCATGATTGACTACGGTTCTCACCCTGACCCTGGTGGCTTGAAAAACATGCCAGTCAAACAAGCGTGTGTGCCCAAAATTCTGACAGGAGGGTGAAATGGAGGAAGAGGATTGCGGCATCACTGCGCTCCACTGGGGAGTGCTCTCTCTCTCTCCTCCTACTGTGAGGACATGCACCCTTTGACAATAAAAAATAACAATATTCCTATATCTTGAAAATCTGTCCTTGATAATTGAAGAGGTAGGGGGAAATTAAGACATTCTCAGATGAACAAAAGCCGATGGAGTTCATTATTACTGACCTTGTCCCGTAAGACATACTCAAGGCAGTCCTGCAGAGTGGAATGAAAGGGCCATAGACAATAAACTGAAATAATATAGAGAAATAAAGATCTCAGTAAAAGTCACTATAGTAGCACTTATAAAGGATAGTGTTATTGTAAAAATGATCTATAATTCTCTTTCTGTTTTCTGTATAGTTTTTTTTAAAATAGTACATTAAAATGTTATTAATTTTTTTTCTTTTTTTGGAGAGGTTTTTGCTATAGGGGGCGTGTGCTCACCAGACAGACAGAGACAGAAAGCGAGAAATCACCCCCCAGGGGGGATGGCCACGCCGCCATCCCTTCTCCTCCATCCTCCTCTCAGGATCTTGGGCACGCATGCACATGCACCTGGCGTGAGTTTTAAGCCACCAGGTCTAGGACGTGAACCGCAGTCAATTATGTTGGAGTCCAGCAACATAGCCATTATGCTAACTGCTGGTCCCAAAACGTTATTAATTTTTAAAAAGCTAATATTTTGGTTTTGGTTTGTAATTCCACATTTTATTTTCTACATAATTTGAAACATGCATTTTGAAAGATTGTCGGTTTCTGTTTTAGGGGGCACAGTGTACAAAAACACAATTTTGAGAGGCCAGCAGGTGACTGAATGTGTGATTTGAGTCCTAGACCCAGCAGCTTGAAGATCATGCTGGGTGTGTGTGTGTGCATGCATGCCCAAAATCTCAAAAGGAGAATGGAAGAGAAGGGATTGTGGTGTGGCCATCCCCTTTGAGGAGTGGTTCTCACTTTCTCTCTTTTTCTCTTTGTCTCTCTCCAGCAAGCACACACACCCTATGGCAAACTTTTTAAAAATAAAAAAGATGTAATTTTTTGACATCAACAATCAAGAGGGGTAGAGTTTTTGTCTGTTGGTGAAGTTAAGATAATGCAAATTCAAATTAGAGTGTTATAACTTCAGGATAAGTGTAATCCCCGTGATAAGCACAAAATAGCTGTAGAATATATAAAAAGGAATTAGCAATCAGGTAAGAAATAGAAATAAGAGGCATTAAAATAGAAAGGAAGAAGTAAAATTATCTCTGTTCACAGATAATGTAATTGTATATGCAGAAAACCCTGAAGATTTCACACATACACAAAACTGTTAGAAAAAACGAATTCAGCAAACTAGGAAACGAAGTAAACACGTGACAAGCCATATCTGTTATAGCCTAACAACTTACAGTATGAAGAGGAAATTAACAATGTCACTTACGAAGCATCAAATAGCACCAAATTCTTTTTTTTTTTTTTTTTTTTGAGAGGTTTTTGCTATAGGGCGCATGCGCTTGCCAGAAAGACAGAGAGAGACAGAGAGACAGAAAGCGAGAAATCACCCCCCAAGGGGGATGGCCACGCTGCAATCCCTTGTCCTCCGTTCTCCTCTCGGGATCTGGGGCATGCACGCACATGCACGTGGCGTGAGTTTAAGCCAATAGGTCCAGGACTCGCACTGCAGTCAACTACATGGTAGTCCAGCGACATAGCCATTACACTAACTGCTGGTCCCAAATAGCACCACATTCTTAAACAAGAATGGGAAAGACTTTTAAAATGAAAGCTACAGAACTTTGCTCAAAGAAGTTAAACATATTCACATTCATGGATTATAAGACTTAATATTGTGAGAGCAATATGTCTTTAAAGCAATCTATAGTGTCAGTGTAATCCCTGTCAGAATCCTAGTGCTTTGGGCAGAAATACAGAAAAATCATTTGAATATTCATGTGGAATCTCAAGGGATCCTAAATAGCCAAAGCAGTCTTGAAGCAGAACATCAGGAGAACTCGCACTTCTTGTTTTAAAAACTTGCTACAAAGATACAATAATTAAAATGGTGTGTAACCAAAAGACATAGATAAAGACCAGTGGAATAGAAGAGTCCACCTAGAGGGCCAGCATGTGGCATGGAAGTTAAGGTGGTTGGATTGCACATCGCTGACTGTGCAGTTTGAGTCCCAGGCCCGGCACTTTGAAAATCATGCCAGATATGTGTGCATGCCTGCCCAAAATCCTGAGAGAAGAATGAAGGAGAAGGGACTGCAGTGTGGCCATCTTCCTTGGTAGATAATTTTTCACTCCCACTCTGCCCTAATAAGGGTAAACTCCTTTTAACAAACTAAAAAAAAAAAAGACACAAAATCTCCACCTAGAAGTAAACCCTTGCATATGTGGTCAAATGACTTTCGACAAGGGTGATAATATTCCCTGGGAATGGGAGAGGCTATCTACTAGACAAGTACTGTGAGGAAGACTGGATGTCCACATGCAAAGAATGAAACTGAACCCTTACCGAATGGATCAAAGACCTAAATGTAAGATCTAAAACTTTAAAACTCTCGGGCAAAAACTTTTGGCAGATGCTTCATGACAGTTGGATTTGGCAATGAAATTTTACATATGACAGCAGAGCCACAGCAACATGAGAATTAGACAAACTGGACTTGAAAAAATGTTTAATTTGTGCATGAAAAGACACTGTCAATGGGGCAAGAAGGAAAAACAGAGAACGGGAGAAAACATTTGCAAATCATATCTGATAGGGGATTAATAACCAGACTATAGAGGGAAGCTCAAGAGCAGGAAAATAGACAACATAGTTTAAAATGGGCAAGTGAGTTGAGAAGACATTGCTCCAAGAAAATGTACACATACCTAATCAACCTATGAAAAGATGCTCTGCTTCACGGACTGTTAGGGGAATGCAAATGCAAATACGCTGAGATCCCACTTCACACCTCCTGGGATGGCCACTGTCTACAAAATGAAGCAGTTCCTGTTGGCCAGGAGGTGGAATTAGAACCTGTGTGCTGTTGGGGAGAAGGTGAAGTGCTGCAGCTGCTGGGGAAAACAGTACTGAAAGTAGGGGTACCATATAAGCCAGCAGTTCCACCTCTGGACGTATTCCCCAGAGGACTGAGAGTAGGGTCTAGAAGAGGTATTTTATATCCCCATATTCATAGCAGCATTATTCCTAACTGAAAGGAAGCTGAATGTCCATGGATGGTCAAATAGATAAGAAAATGTGAGATATATACATCGCACTCTTTATCTTATATTTTATATACTTTATATATAAATGTAAAAGATATCATTTATAACAAGTATATAAATATATGTAAAAGTGAAACATACTTAATATATTACATATATAATATTTATATAAAATATATTTACATGTATATTATATATAAATATTTATTTACTTAATTTTATTTGTTAATATTATTATTCTACTTGAGTAGAGAGAGACAGAGAGAGTGGGAGAGAGAGAAAGCAAACCACCAGGGCAGGGACTTGAACTATAGTCGGCCATGTGTGAGTCCAGTGCCTTAACCACCACCCCACCTGCTGGCCCCCAAAATTATGATTTTTAAAGTTGATTTATCTCATAGAGGGAGAAAGAGAGGATGAAGAGAGAGAGAGAGAGAAAGGCATCCCTAATAGGGTCTTCATGCCATGTTCTACCCCCAGCTTCAGCCAGTCCAGATCATGGGCATGTGTGTGCTTGACTTTCCTATGTGTGTGTGTTGGGGGGGGCAGTAGCATCACCACTGTGCCACCATCGGGACCCCCTTTTTGCTTTTCAGTGAATAACTCCTTTCTGTATGCCCTCAACCACAGACCAGTCTCCACTTTACCTCTCCTACACCAACTCTCAAAGCGTCAACCTCAGAACGGGTTATACACATATTTTTATTCTCCCACTCATCCACGAGAAAACCATCCATAGTTCTTGGTATATGTGTGGACATCAAGCAAGAAGGAAATGAGAAGTTGAGACAAGGAAAAATACATAGGTGATATAACTCTTAATATATATATTAGGCTAATATTCTGTTATATAGTTATTATATATATAGCCTAAAAAGGGAAGGAAATTTTTGCATGTGCTACAATGTGCATGAACTTTAAGGACATTTTTCTCACTGAAATAGACTAGTCACCTAAAGGAAAATACTGTATGATTCCTTTTATATGAGATAAATGGAATAGAGGAGCTAACAGAGACGCCAAGCAGAACACTGGTTGCTAAGCCTTGCAGGGAAGGGGAGGTCATTCTTAACGACTGTACCATTTCAGTTATACAAAACTGGAAGAGTTCTGGAAATTAGGGTGGTGATGGTTAACAGTGTAAATATATTGCTAACAATTGAACTGTGTACCTAAAACTGGTTGCAATGATAAATTATGTTATATTATTTTACCTCAATTTTTTAAAAATGTGGGACACAGCCACCATAGTGTGTGATGAATCCTGGAGCTTGGCAGGCTGAGTCGCATAGGCCCGGGTCTGAGTCCCAGCTCACCCGGGAAACCAGGTGGGATGATGCGTGCCTGTACTTGGATGGGTGAGGCAAGGAGAGGACCCAGTGAGACCCTGCCCAGAAATAATACTACACACATGCATGTGCACACACACACTCATCCCACAAAATGTGGGGAACTGGCTTGTTTAATATGACCTTTTTGAAATGGTTACCGAATTGTCAATAGTGAATTAAACCGGATAGTGGGTTTCTGGTCAACTTTACATTCTTATGTAATTATAGTTAAATGTTTCAAAACTGGTTTGTATTGTTTTCCAAATCAGAAAATAAATGTTATTTTCATTTCAAAAGCAGAAAAGCAATTAAACACAGAGAAGTGGGTGATGCCCTCCAGTCTCTGTCGGGAGATATTCTGTTGTGTTATGGCTTTGCTCCACAACCTAATGTACCCCTGTCATCTTATGAGAACTGCACTGTGATTTAAAAGAACGTCACTCCATTAGCATTTAGTTTTCCAAACGTAAATATCTTTAAGGTTTTTGTTGGAAAATAGTTATTTCTGTGGGCTTGTGCATTAGATTTTTAATAATTCTTTATGACCAAGATAATTACAGCAAAAAAAAAAAACCAAAAACCTCTGGGAGAGTAAATGTCTAGGAGATGAAGGTATCACGTGGCAGAAGCACTCCCTCCCGTGTGCATTGCCGGTAAGACTACCCTGCTGTGCGGGAAGAAGCAGTCGCGCTATGGGGAAAGAATTAGCTCTGGAACCCTGTGAGAGGTGACCAGTAAGAGGACATTCACCTGGATTTCTTTCTTTCTTTTTTTTTTAGAAGTTGATTCAGCTACGACCTGACCCTGGGAGAGGAATGGCAGAAGGAGAGGTAGGGACTTACAGCAGTTATGCTGAGGATTAATGTGGGCATTAAGAACACATTTTTACTCTTTGACTCATCATTCCAGCTATAATTAGCAGTAAATGTTTTAAGTTAATGACAGTCAGTTGGAATATCATTAAACACGAGATGATTGAAAAGCATAAATGCAGATACCTGCCTTGTTTCTGTAACTACAAACCTTACCCACTATTTGTTTATAACATTGAAAAACTAGAAATCTGCAAAAAGAGACAAGCTAATTATTCCAAACCCCACTGGTATAATATTAATAGTTTAATTCTGAAGTATTTGCCCCCACGTTCTAGTAGCAGAATAATGGAGGGGGGAAATGGTATTACCATTCTGGCTTGTGCTTTTGAAAGTTAACAATACCTGGCACATGGTCATAGGAAAACATCTAAAAATACCAAATTATAAAAATGAAAAAAAGAAAATGTGATCCCGAAGAAATTCTTTCTTCTTGGAGTCAGGCCCAGCGTTTGTTTCCTGCCATCGGTTTGGCACAGAGAAAGGAAGAAAAACAAACGTTCTGGTGTGATAGCGCGCTCGGCGGTACACGTGGGCTGGCGTGTGCCTCGTGCTGAAGCGCAGGTTTGTTTCATGGGAGGACTGTTCAATGGGAAACAAGACACCAGTCATTTAGTTGGAAAAGGGGGAAATGCAGTCAGTGTCTTTATTTCTGGAGAGATTTCCTAACTCCTGTTCTTCACCCCACTGTACATCTGCTATGAAGGGAAAAGCACCAAGACTCTTTTGTTTTATAAGAATTATTTTATTATCATCTTTTTTTTTTTTAATTTGCTATAGGGCATGCGTGTTTACAGGGGTGAGGGGTGAGGGCGTGTGGGAAGTGAGAAAGCAAGCCACCAGGTCCAGGACTCAAACCCTGATCAGCTTATATGGGAATCCAGTACCCCAACTACCATGCCACTTGCTGGCCCAGCACCAGCGCTCTTAAACTCACACACGCTCTCCCAGAATCAGGCAGATGTGCAAAGAAAGTAAAAGGTGCCCACCACAGTGAGATACCATATCATCTCCACAAGGATGACTATTCTCAAAACAAAATAAGATAACTAAAAAAATAAATGAACAGACAACAAAGGTTGATGAGGATGTAGAGAAATTAGAACCTTCATACATTGTTGGTGGGAGTTTGAAATGTTTCAGCTCTGAAAAAGTTTGGAAAGTTAAAATGTGGAACCTCCGTGTGACCTGATTCTTCCACTGTGAGATGCATACCCAGGAGAGCTGAAAGCAGGTTCTCAAACACGTATTTGTACAAAACGTTTATAGGAGCACTATTCACAGTAGCCAGAAAGAGGAAGCAAACCTAAACCCAACCCAGATTCATCAGCAGATGAATGGATAAGCCAACGTGCTAACAAAACTGTTATAGGAGCACTATTCACAGTAGCCAGAAAGAGGAAGCAAACCTAAACCCAACCCAGATTCATCAGCAGATGAATGGATAAGCCAACGTGCTAAATCAGTATAGTAGAATGATATCTGGAAAACCCCTAAATATTTGGAAAATAAGTAACTCTTCTAAATGATACATGGGTCAAAGAGAAACTCAGAAGGGGATTATAAAATATTTTTAATTGACTGAAAGTGAAATCACAATATATCAAAGTACGTGGGAAGCTGCTGGAGCACTGGGCTATTTCTGACATATTCAATGTGTAATTAAAGAGGAAAGGTCCAAATCCAGGACCTCAGCTTCCACTGTAAGAAAGTAGAAAAATTTGAGCAAATTAATCCCAATGTAAACATAATGAAAGAATGAGTTAAGAACAGAAATTATTAAAATAAAAAAGCAATAGAGAATATAAATGAAATCAAGCATTGGTTTTCTAAGAGGAATAGAAAGAGTAGCCTTTAAGCAGACTGAGCAGCAAACAGAGAAGGCATGGGTTACTGATGTCAGGAATGGAAGGGGGACATTACAGAGCTTCCATATTGAAAAGATAACGAATGCAGATACCTGCCCTGCCTTTTCTGTGCCAGACCAATGGAAGGCATGCATGTGATCAAAGCGTGGTGCCCGTAAGTTCAAAACCTTAAACTGAGCATTTTGTAATTTGTCTAAACTACCAAAACTCACAGAAGAAAATAGGTGACTTGAGTGGTTCTGGACGTGCTAGAGAAATTGAATTTGGAGGGACCAGCGGATGACCTAATGGACTCGCTGGACTCCCAAGTGTGTGCCCCAAATCCCAAGAGGAAAATGGAGGAAACTTTCCACTGAAGAAAACTCTTCAGGCTGGATAGTGGCAGTATGAAACGTGTCCAGCTCTGTAGAAATACCATTCTATGCAAGAGACTGAGTGACCAGCTCACAGAGAGGCAAGAGTGTTCCTCAAGCGCTGAGATACGGTGTGCAGTCAGTGTCTTTATTTCTGGAGAGATTTCCTAACTCCTGTTCTTCACCCCACTGTACATCTGCTATGAAGGGAAAAGCACCAAGACTCTTTTGTTTTATAAGAATTATTTTATTATCATCTTTTTTTTTTTTAATTTGCTATAGGGCATGCGTGTTTACAGGGGTGAGGGGTGAGGGCGTGTGGGAAGTGAGAAAGCAAGCCACCAGGTCCAGGACTCAAACCCTGATCAGCTTATATGGGAATCCAGTACCCCAACTACCATGCCACTTGCTGGCCCAGCACCAGCGCTCTTAAACTCACACACGCTCTCCCAGAATCAGGCAGATGTGCAAAGAAAGTAAAAGGTGCCCACCACAGTGAGATACCATATCATCTCCACAAGGATGACTATTCTCAAAACAAAATAAGATAACTAAAAAAATAAATGAACAGACAACAAAGGTTGATGAGGATGTAGAGAAATTAGAACCTTCATACATTGTTGGTGGGAGTTTGAAATGTTTCAGCTCTGAAAAAGTTTGGAAAGTTAAAATGTGGAACCTCCGTGTGACCTGATTCTTCCACTGTGAGATGCATACCCAGGAGAGCTGAAAGCAGGTTCTCAAACACGTATTTGTACAAAACGTTTATAGGAGCACTATTCACAGTAGCCAGAAAGAGGAAGCAAACCTAAACCCAACCCAGATTCATCAGCAGATGAATGGATAAGCCAACGTGCTAAATCAGTATAGTAGAATGATATCTGGAAAACCCCTAAATATTTGGAAAATAAGTAACTCTTCTAAATGATACATGGGTCAAAGAGAAACTCAGAAGGGGATTATAAAATATTTTTAATTGACTGAAAGTGAAATCACAATATATCAAAGTACGTGGGAAGCTGCTGGAGCACTGGGCTATTTCTGACATATTCAATGTGTAATTAAAGAGGAAAGGTCCAAATCCAGGACCTCAGCTTCCACTGTAAGAAAGTAGAAAAATTTGAGCAAATTAATCCCAATGTAAACATAATGAAAGAATGAGTTAAGAACAGAAATTATTAAAATAAAAAAGCAATAGAGAATATAAATGAAATCAAGCATTGGTTTTCTAAGAGGAATAGAAAGAGTAGCCTTTAAGCAGACTGAGCAGCAAACAGAGAAGGCATGGGTTACTGATGTCAGGAATGGAAGGGGGACATTACAGAGCTTCCATATTGAAAAGATAACGAATGCAGATACCTGCCCTGCCTTTTCTGTGCCAGACCAATGGAAGGCATGCATGTGATCAAAGCGTGGTGCCCGTAAGTTCAAAACCTTAAACTGAGCATTTTGTAATTTGTCTAAACTACCAAAACTCACAGAAGAAAATAGGTGACTTGAGTGGTTCTGGACGTGCTAGAGAAATTGAATTTGGAGGGACCAGCGGATGACCTAATGGACTCGCTGGACTCCCAAGTGTGTGCCCCAAATCCCAAGAGGAAAATGGAGGAAACTTTCCACTGAAGAAAACTCTTCAGGCTGGATAGTGGCAGTATGAAACGTGTCCAGCTCTGTAGAAATACCATTCTATGCAAGAGACTGAGTGACCAGCTCACAGAGAGGCAAGAGTGTTCCTCAAGCGCTGAGATACGGTGGTCCCTTTTATTGACATTCAGTTCTAAGAGCAGGAGAGTCAGCAGTCAGCGTGAGGGGTCTCACACTGGCCTGTCCCTAAAGGAGGGAGGGACATCAGGAAACAGAGGCTTGTAGGTTGTAAGTGAGTTTGAAACTCTTAGATTAGTAATTGGTTAAAGAGAAACAAGTCTCTGTTTCTGAAAGAAATCAGCGAAAGAAACTGAAAAGATAAGGTTTTCTGTGTGTCATGAAAACCCTATGCCTGGGCTAGGAAGTGGCATGGAGGTTAAGGCAGCTGGATCCCACATGATGCATGGCATGGTTTGGGACTTGGACTCAGAGGCCTGAAAATCACACTGAGCATTCCTCTATACATTGAATGAAATTCCTACCAACATCCTAGCAGAAATATTTTTTCTTCTTTCTTTAGTGGTAGCGAAAAAGTAATTCTAAAATTTATTTAGGGCTGGTCCCATAATGCAGTGGTTAAATGCTGCCCATTGGGAGCCAGGTCACACATAGGGGGCTGCAGTTCAAATCCTAGCCCCAGTGGCTTGAGAAGCACGCCAGTGCCTGTGCGTACCTGAAATCCTGACGGGATGGAGAAATGAAGGAAAAAGGAGTAGTAGAGTGTTATCGCACCCCATTGGGGAGTATTTTCCCTCTCTTTCTCTTTCTCTCTCTGCTGAGCATATATACACTTGGCAGTTTAAAAAGCAAACAAACAAAAAAGTTTGAAATTGATTTAGAAAGATAAAGGACCTAGAAAAGTCAAAACAATAGGAACAGTGTTGAAGGACTCTTACTCCCTAATTCAAGATTTACTAAAATACTGCAGTAATCTAACAGTTTATTATCATTAAAGGAGAGGTAACCACATCTGTAGAAAAGAATAAATGGTCCAGAAATAGGTATAGGTATGTGTGTGTGTGTGTGTTTATGTACGTGTGTATGTCCATTAATTTTTGACAAAAGTGCATAGATAATTCAATGAAAAAAGATA